TTCCAACGATGTCTTTTCTTCATCACGAGTGTCTCGCAGCAACAAGGCTAAGCAGTTGAAAAAGTCAAAGGAACCTGACTCATCGAGCTGCAGTCAGCGGATAGAAATTCGACTCATTCCAGCTGAGGAGTTGGCTTGACCGCTGATGTCGCTGGCGAGGCACAGTAAAGCTTGATGTTGTCGGGGGCACAGGCAGCACTACTGAACCCCGTCGCTTTGTGTCGTTGGGGCGCCATCTTGAAGCAGTTGTCGCTGCCGCAGGACAAGTAGGAAGTGTCGGTGGCCAGCGATGATTGCGATGACCGAGTGGACAGTGTTGTTTGGCACCGAGGCTTCACCGTATGCTCTAATAGACGAGAAGTTCACCGCTGGCTTGCGCTGCAAATCATTGACAGCGTCACAGAGAAGAATCGGCAAACATTGTCGATTGAGCAGGCGGAAGCCGAAGGCGGAAGACGGAGGTCGATACTGCGGGCTTGGAGAAAGCTTCGCTGTGTCTGTGTCGACCATTGAAGACCAGATTGAAGTCGATCGGGCGCCGCGCTTGACACGATGAATCTTGTCGCGAGCTCCTTGTAACCATTGAGTCCATCGCGGAGCGGAGAACACGAGATGTCGAGCGCCGTTGCACAACGTTGTCGATTGGGCGTTGATCGGCATCCAAACATTGTAGGCGCGAAGGACCATTGATGTCGATGCAGCTTGGTCAAGGTGTTCGAAGCTTCTTCCTGCGCTCGATGTGTAAAGGTTTGTCGATGGGCACGAAGATAGTCGCTTAGGCGCGAAGAGCACGTCGAAAGCTTCGCTGACGAGTTGAACATTGACGTAGAGAGCAAAAGTTCCTTGTCGTCATAGGCGCACGGTCAGAGAACGTCCAAAGTGTCGCTTTTGGTGCCGCAAGTCTTCAGTTAGCGCGGCAGACCGCCCTTGTAGTGACGAGTAGCCTGCGGAGCTAGAAGAACTTGAAAAAAAACTTGCGGACTCCAGGGGTCCGGTTTGGGGATGCCGCGTCGCTTTGAAGTCGTTGCTGCCCTGCCGTTGTCTTGATCCGCTGCAACTCGAGTGTCCCTCAGCTTCTGTAGATACTTGAAGCCGGCCTTGTGAAGTTGATCGTGGTGATGGCGGCGGCAGAAGAAGCTTGAATTTTGTGGAGTGGACAGCGAGTTGTCGAGGACGGCGCCAGCGGTAGCTTGTCGGGCAACAGCATGGCTCGTCCGGGGCAGGCAGGCAGAAGGGCGGCAGCAAGTGTCTCAAAGAACGCGATGTCGCCTTCACCGAGTGTCGAAAAAAGCAGTACAAGCTAGAGATAAACTCTAACTTGCATGGCAAGTTGTCGCGAGAAATGTAAAAGCAAAAGTCCAAATCAAAGCATTAGGAAACAATAAGAAACGTGAAAAAACGAATGCTTGCTCGAGTAAATTTGGAGTTTTTGAACGTAAAATCTCGAGCAAACAAAACGAAATTTCAAAATTTCGAATCGTTAGCGCCAACTATAGCGACGAATCGTAAGTGGCTCGCCCAACACTTCAAAAAGAACATTACTTTTACAAATCCGACATCGAAAGGTGGTTGTAGAAAGCACTGCCGGGCTTGACCAATAGTGGCGCATCTTCCTTCCATCGACAACTTCAGCGCAAGCTTCATGTGTTGAGGCATTGTCGAACCATTAGAAGTTGGATGCATCATCGGTCGCGGCAGGGGTTGCTTTACAGGAAAACGAGTGTCGGGCGGCAAAAATGCCAGTGTCGAAGGTGGCCGAGGCCGGTGTCGCGGTGGCCGAAGCCGGTGTCGGGTTTGAAAAACTAAGGAAATAAATTCCAAAGTTATTTCAGGTGTCGCAAAATAGTAGACAACGGATGGAGCAACGCGAGGGGGAAAAATTTCGCACATGTCAACGCAGAAATATGGAAATGAGCCGGCGAAATGTCGAAATCGAACGAAAGTAAGGGTCCTGGTCAGCAATCGGATCAGCGGAAGGCGGGCGTCGATCCATGCGGTTTCCGCGCCATTCCTTGAACTGGTGTCCGGCTTGCAGAAGAGGCTTCCTCCCTTCTTCGCGCAGCGCAGCGGCTTGCCTTGAACTGGGACGATGTGGAGCGCGCATCGTTGAAGGCGCCTCAGCAATCACGTGGTGTCTTGCCAGGTCGTGCCTCGTTGCATCATCGAGTGTCTAAAAAAACGATGTCGTATTTTGCGAAACGCCCGAGTGTCGCGGTGAGGAAAAAAGGCAGAAAGTAGGCCAGTGAATTGCAAAACCAAACGACTTTCTCAAGGTCGTTGGCGCAAAACACCACGTCGACAGTGGACCATGCGTTGTTGATGTTGTTCACATCGGGTGTCGGGCTTGTGATCCTTGTGCAAGTGTCGACTGTCGTCGCTGGCTTCATTCGGCTCGATCATCAAGTGTCGCCCAGCGTCAGCCTGCCTCGAAACTCGATCGGGTTGATGTGCTTGCAGGGCATGGTGTCGACTGTATCCGGCGTGTGGTGTCGCTGTCTGAAACAGGCAGCATCATAGGAGGACGAATTGAAGCGAACGAGGACAAATCAACACCGCAGAATGAAAATCAAAATGAACACCGCGTAATGAAAGCGCGAAAGTTGAATTTGGAATTTTGAAATACAAAAGAAGTAATTTTGAAAAGCGAAAAGTAAAAGTAAATTTAGGAAAACTAAAATGGAATTTAGAAAACAAAAGTTGGAAACGAAAAGGAAAATACAGACGCGAAAAGAAATGAGCGCGGAAAGAGCGAGGAAAAATTCAAAGTGTGAGTGGGCCGAATTAGAACAGTCCCCATGTAACACACCTTTGAACCCTCGGGTCCCACCACGCGCAAATCTCATCCATTACGCAATATCAATTCAAAAATCAAAACAACGATATCAAAGTGTTGTCTCGCAAAGGGATCGCTTTTTTTGTCGAGAAGATTGTGCAACACTCAGCGGAAGTGTAGAAAACGTCGTAGAGCTTGTAGAGCGTGCAGTAAAGTAGATCGGTCAGTGCTTCTTGAACGCAGGCGGCTTCTCGTGGGCCGCTGGAGCAGGAAAACACCTCTTCATGTCGGAAATCCATGCGTGGAGTAGACTTGGTGTCGCATGGAACGAGTGTCGAGTGTCGGGATTTGAAAAACTAAGAGAATAAATTCTCAAAGTAGTTCAGGGTGTCGCAAAATAAGTAGAATTGATGCATCAAGTGTCGAGAGATGGGAAGAGGGCCGAAAATGATGCCGTAATTCCACCGGCATAGTAGCGGGTCTCGTTCAGCACAGTAGTTCGGCAGAAAGCAGGTGTCGAAACATGGCTGCACTTTCCGTGAACGATCGGCCGGCTTGTCGGAGGCTTCTTCTACCATTCTTCGTAACTTGACGCCGTAACTTGAGTAGCAGCAGCATCCAGTTTCCACCAAATGTCGAGCGCTTCTAAACGATGTCTTATAAAGCGAAAATCCCAGATGTCGAGTGAGAAAAAAATCCTTGTAGGCCAGCGAAATGCAAACAAATGAATTTCTCAAGGCCATTGTCGCAAAAAACGCCTCGTCGATGGCGGTCGTCGAATCGAAACACATGTAGTCGCGCAGCAAATGAACAAAGTAGACGCTCGTTGACCGGTAGACGCCGATCTTGATGTCTTGCGTAGAGAAGATCGAAGTTGTCTCATTTGTGCTTGACCAAGTGTCGAAAACGGGTTGCGCCGAGTGTCGATTTCTTCTTTCCTCGGGAGATTGGTGACGAGGAGAAGCCTCGACCATGGAGAAGGTGGACGCGAGAGAGGAAAAGCAGCTGGCCCATCCTTCTGCGCACAGCAAACCATTGGGGCAACCATCGAACACGCATCCCAGACTCATTTCATCCTGGAAAAGACAAAGAATTCCCAAAAATCACCTTTTATTTCGTATCCACTCGTAAAATTGTAGACCATGCTTCTTCCGTTGATGTGTGCCATCCTTTCCACCTTTCCAAGGCAATCTTCCTTCCACTCGCAGCGGGCTCGCGTGGGCTTTGCGACCATGGCTTTCGATAGCTCCAAGGTCCGGCTTCATGGGGAACACGCCGCGCTTGGCGTCAAACCCAAGGCCATTTTTGTGATCTAAAAACACACAAAAAGCAGGAAAGTCACCAATGCATTGGTCGATCGCAGCACATCAACACAAAACACCTCCGGTAGGCAGTCTTGTCGAAGAGAGCACGGTGTCGCGAGCCATACATTCTTCACCAGTCTCTTGTCGATTGCATTCCATCGGCATAGAGGCAAAATGACCGGGTTTTAACCACGGCCGACGCACCATATCGAAAATATAAACCTCCTACCTTTCCTAAAGTGTATAAAGCTAAATGGTCAAATAGTAAAAGGGAAAGCGCAGGTTGCCACATTTATATTCCGAGCCTCAACCACTTCCATATAAATACCAGCGCGCGTTCGGTGTTCAAATGGCAGTAATAGAATGTGGTTACAAATATACCTGAATGGATTAGAGAACATGTTTATTAGTAGAGAACAGTGTCGAATATATAGGGCACGGATAAAAGGGTGTCTGAGGAGAAGTACAATGTCGAGGGCAGGGCGAACGAGAATGTTCAGGGTGTCGAAAGGATGCACTCGCCAGTGGTTTACTGCGCCCCTTCAGTGGTAAACCACTTCCAGGCTCACAGACCTTCTCCAGTTCAGGCCGAAACCATCCCTGGCCTCCAATCCCTTTCGGGAGAGAAGAAACGAGTAATCCGGGGAAGAACCCGAATAATCGCCAGAGGGCCGAGAGGGCGCCGCACAGCCCGCTCCCATACGGTCATCGCGGCGGGACCACCTGGCATATTGCCAACCCCATTAGGCCACATAATTGAACCCTCGAAACTGCACCTAGAGAATGGAATTCTCTAGGAAAGTTTCGACAGGAAACATATATAGCATCATTTACCGTTTATTTTTGCACCATTTATGTTTTTTCAGAAGCGGATATTTGGATAAAGTGTTGCAAATAGAAGGTAGTAAGACGCACCGAGCTTATTCCAGCTTCACAAAATACAGCATATTAAGCCAGGGTACTTTGAAAAAGACGCTATTACTGCAATAGGGGCTTTCGGGTTGGTCGCAGATGTGGTACGGGTCGTCGAGGCCATCGGGGAAATAGACCTGAGATGTGAATTTGATGTTGATTTGGTGTCAACCAGTATGTGTTTTCCCATTAGATTGAGTGCTGAAACCGAATACGGTAATCTCAGGCTCCATAACGCGTCTCGGTACAAAATCCGAAATTTTTTGAGAGTCCGAATTCCAAAAGCATCAATTTAAAAGCACCTAATTGAAACTATGGGGGTCGTCCCGGTCTTTTTCAAGGTGTATTTTTCCAAATATGTTTTTTTTTGTAGTTTTGCCGTAGTTAGCTTTTTCGTAATTTGGTATCTGGGTTTTAGCAGAAGGAGAAGGTATCTGTGTTACTTTAGAACAGCCGAATCGAGGCGAAACTGGTCGGTGGTCGAATGTTGCAATTTGAATTCGGGGCTAGCGACTTCGACGTATCGATTGGGTTTCGGGGTTTTGAACGTTAGGCTTCGCATTCGGTGTTTTAGTATGAGGATGCCAGTATTTAGGGTAGTCTACCAAATCACCTCAAACGCGAAATGGTGGGCCAAATCTAGAGAATCGCCGATACGCTTTGGCATGTCGGCCAGTAGATCAGCGCCGACGACCGCCCGAAATGCCGAATGGGTCTGAAATAGCGTTCTCCTGAAAATATTTAGCTAAGCTTACGTTGCTCTCGACACTGATAGCGAAAGTGATGTCCCCGGTGCGCGGCTGGCCCACCGTCAGCAGGTTGATATTTGACAACCGCAACAATGTGGCAACGGCCGGGATTAGCATCGACGCCAGCGAACCACCAATTCCGGCGCCGGTCACCTATTGCATTCTTATTTTCTTATTTTTTCGGATGTGCCTAGGAGCAAGCCATTCAATCAGGTGCACTCTACAGCAAATGGAAAGCTCAAGCTGAGGCTACCGTGATATTCCAATTTTTCCGCGATACAAAATATTCCTGCATCGTGTCGTTGAGTCCATTATCCCATAGCGAGAAAAAGCAGGAACTGAATCTTCCAGAATGCCTCGCCAAACGGTAAGTCACGTACTTGTAATATTTCAACACTCTCCCGCCAAAGCGAAACTTTTCCTGCCGATTCAGCAGAAAGTCAAAGATTTGGGCAATGATCTAAAAACTCTTCTCTGAGGAATTATCAGAAACATTGATTTTGATTATTTCCAAACTTGCCTCATCGAAACCGACAGTCGAATCAAAGGCAATGACGGCTTCTCGATTCGGCTCAATGGCTGCCACGATCACAGAGGCCATTCCCTAAAAATTGCATCTATTTGGCTGAAGCCCATCTCGTACGTGATCGCAGACGACGGTGTTCGAGTAAATAATCGTGGTGTCATTGTGCATATTCTGTAATATGGGTAGGACATCTTCCTTCGCCCACAAATCCAACACCGCGTTCGCCGCCTTCGTGATTGGGATTATGCGGCTGGTCAGGAGGTAGTACTAAAGGGGGAAATCTAGCCCTAGTAGTTTTGCTTTTCGGGGTCATTAAAGTTATCCGTGCGAACACTAAATCCTGTCCTAGCTAAACTAGACATACCGGAAAGACAATCTGACTGATATTTCGTGGACAATTGTACTGCGTAATGACCGTATAGGTTGAGCAGGCGAGCAGGCCGTTGACGCAACTACCGCTGTCGAGGCACCATCTATAATCGTTAGTTAATACCTCGAATTAGTTATTTCAAGCACGATGGTATAATCGCTTAATAGCCTGTTAAAGTTATAACCAATAAAATGCATCTCGATTTATCACGCACCGGCAAGTATACCCAACCGTCTGCGCCCCAGCGCAATCCAGACAATTCAGATAGCGCTCGCATTGTGCATTAATGGTCACAGCGCAGATAGTAAATAATAGGAAGGTAGAGATGATAAAGCACATTAGTAGAAGATACGCGGCTCAAAATTAAGACCCGCGAAGTAAATTTTCGAGTGTCTTTTCACCTGTGGCGTTGCAGGTGTTTCTTCTCCACTTTTTTCCTGGATACCTTTGGCCCTCTACACTGTCTCTATACAGTAACTCCAGCTTCTGATCTTTTTCCGTATTTTTCTTTTCTCATTCCTCTTTTCTATCGTCAATTTAGAATTCCTTTTTAAATTTTTTTCAAAAAGTTTATATTTTCTGTAAGGTTAAGATATAACTTTGTGAATTTTTGGGTTCAGCGCCAGTATCGCCGCCCCCGATAATGCAAAGGTGCCCTACTAGCGCTCCCTCTCTCACTCTCTCCCCCTCTCTCCCTCACTCGCTCCTCTCTCCCTCTCTCTTTCTCTCTCTCTCTCTCTCTCTCTCTCTCTCTCGCACTCCCTCTCTCTCACTCTCGCTCTCCCTCACTTTCTCTCTCTCTCAAATTATTGAATTCTTCATATCACAATCCCTTTAGTGAACCGATCATCCCCCACCACCCCCGATGTCCATCTGCCGTGCCCGTATTCAATCTGATTTTTGGGTGCGCAGACTCAATTTTTTTGGCTGCCGCCTGTTTTGGTGAGCTCCCCTTTTACGTCCCGCTTGCTAATTATCCCTCCATCTCTCACCCTCTCGCCAGGAAAAGTGCCGTCGTGCATATTAAGATTCGGATCTAGGTGCTCGATACCGCCTGGTGCGCTGGTGAGGGTGTTTGGTGGGTGCGCGTCCCCGACCCCCGATCCATATATCCCGCCCACACATTAAATATATATGATTCTACGGATTGCGATATTATTTTTGTTATATTTTAAAGCTACTGCCGAGATTGTTCCTGTTGCTAATGTTCTTACAGCTTTAAATGACCCTTTAAAAGGTAGGTTTTGCGCTTTGAACTATACTAAACGCATGCCAAGTCGGCAGCCGGGAGTCAATGTCTAATAAATAATTTTATAGAAAATGCAACTGTTTTCTCAACACAACACCCAATTATACAAGGAAAGAGTATATTTCCCGGTATCTGATCTTACATTTTCAACCTAAATTTTTTCAAGAACCGATTTCTTCGTCCATACAACCTTCCGATCTGAGTAATGCACCGATCTCTGGTATTTCCCTACTTATTGCCCGAAATTATCGATTTTTAGAAACACCTACTTTTTTTACCGCGCCCCAACTTGGACTGCCTGGTAGCCTTGTACTAAAACAAAGTTATAATCCTCTTTAGACCCAACCACAAGCCCACTAATGCTCCAAGGCCCTCGCGAACACTCCCCAAAAAATCTAACTGTTTCCGATGCTCATCCTCCTCCTCATCAAATTCCACAGATTACAATTGTTCCGGAGGGCGACTATTTCGATTCTGTAGGTTTTTCAAAAATAGCAAGTCACAAAAAAGTTATAGTTATTGGCCCCGATGCCGTATCGGATACAGCCGGCTCGCAGAAATCCCTGCCTTTGGGGGAATAAAATGTTTGTGGCTATTCATTCAGGTCAGTTTTAGAAAAAAGGACGTGAGACCTAACAGGGATTATTACGGAATATTCTTGTAACTATTCAACACTTAGCTGCCCAAAATTTTGGGCGTCGTATGGCAATCAGGGATACGTATGCGAGTATGGAGCTTCAGAAAAAGGTAAGTAACTCTTTAGTTTATTAAAAATTATTGAAGATTAAAAGCGGAATGAATAAATAATAACTATCCTACCTTATATAATTTGGTCGCGTATCTTTGTGTGTGTGTGTGTGTGTGTGTGTGTGTGTGTGTGTGTGTGTGTGTGTGTGTGTGTGTGTGTGTGTGTGTGTGTGTGTGTGTGTGTGTGTGTGTGTGTGTGTGTGTGTGTGTGTGTGTGTGTCCGGCGCCAGGGAGCGCTACTTTGCATAATTCCAAAAAATCCAAACTAGCTTATTCTTGCAAGTTGCACGCGCGGGTGTGATCGGATGAAGGGAGGGGTCCGAAGGACCCAAGCTATCGGAAAGTCAAATTTCTCATGCAAAGGCCGCATTCCAGCGCCCAAGGCCCGCGAAGCGGGTTTTGGGCGCTGGTACAAAATAAATGTACTTTTAGCTCGGCTTCTCTGTCGTATTTGTGCTTGGGCTACAAGACTCCGAATTGATTCAAAAATGGGTGGAAACCGAGGCCGAGCAGTACGACGACATTTTGCAGGCCGAGTTTGTCGAGCACTACTTCAATATGACGGTCAAGGTGAGAGAGAGAGAGAGAGAGAGAGAGAGAGAGAGAAACTACCTGATGACTTCGACCTGCCTTTCAGAAACTCTCCTGGATGCGCTATGCCCAAGCCAGATGCCCACATACCAAATGGGTACTCCACCTTGACGATGACGCCGTGATGGACGTCTATTCGCTATTGGGGTTTATTGAGAATAGAAAGTAGGTTAGATGAGCTAGTGGAGATTGCCCGGATCCCCAATTTTCAGAGCTAACTTTAGAATCAATGACCCGAGCACGATTTTCTGCATGGCCATTTCCTACAACCAGACAAACGTCGTCAGGAACCCGTACAGTAAGTGGTGAGTTATTACCCAAGAATTTTTAAGTGGTGAGCCAAATAACAGCTGTCAAATTTTGAGGTACGTGTCCGAAGAGGCCTACCCGCAGCGCTTCTACCCAAAGTACTGCGCCGGCGCCGCCTATTTGCTACCCCAAAAAGCGTTGGCTGCCATGGAAGAGGCGGTGAAGCGGATGCGATATATTACCGTAATTCTTGAGCTGAGGTTCAAATATTTTTCAGATCGACGACGCCTTTGTGACTGGAATTCTTCGCGAAGCCATCGGGTTTGGCATCCGTCAGTTGCGTCCGTATGTTTTTCGAAGTTTTTGAGTAGTGTGAGGTTGCTGATCCGAGGTATTTTAAAAAAAGAGGATGATAATGGTACAGATTATAACGATTATTACCTGTTTAGTCAGGGCATCATCCGAAAGGAGCTCGATCCCCTAATCTACCAATTCCAAACGGGAAATGCCGTGATGGCCGAATGCCCGAACGAGCATTGCATGAGGCATCTGTGGGAAATGTAAGCCAAACTTGCGCACTACTGTAACGATTATACTTATGATTATTGTTCCTACGGTCGTACATTATATTAAACTTAGAATCGAGATGCTTCATCGCACTTGGAATCAACCGAACGTTAATATTACATCGATCGGAATCCCAGAATATGTCCCGGTGCAGGTGGAGATTAGGTGAGAAGGAGAGAGAGAGAGAGAGAGAGAGAGAGAGAGAGAGCGCGAGAGAATGTGTGAAATAGCTGAGGCAGCCCCCTAAATGCTCGAGCTAATTTCAGAATACGCTGGGGCGAAACGATCACCTACGAAGGCGGCCCCGGCATGGAGCAGCTCGAGTCGTACAACGCAACGCGAGAAGTGGTGGGTCATTATAAATAGATTGTTATTGCCTTTATCCTTCTCCATCTGCTTCACAGTGGTACAAAACCTATGTCGCCATCCAAAGCCGAAAACGCTTTCCAGAGTCGGATCCCGCGAAGAGAGGAAAAACGCGTACGCTCGGTGTTCATCGGCCTACTAATGCCACTCGTCCTGATCAGCCTCGTATTCGCCAGCAAACTCGCCACTTTATTGGCAAATTTTGCGATCGAGCGATTCGGACATTTGATGCACAAGAGATAAATTATGAATTATTGATACCTGCTTGGTACTTTGGTGCACTCCTACAGCTTGGCCTTCCAGAGAAATTGGCATTTTTTCCGGGTTTTCTTTCTTTCAGCTGCTACTCCGATATCTGGCTAGGGCCCGTATTCTGAGGATGTCATCTTCAATCTATCAAAGGTCGATGTCTCGATCTCTGAGGGAGCGACACTCTCTTTCTCTCTCTCCGCTCTGTTTGATAGTACATAGGAAGCAAGCGGACCCACCGGGTCTGTTCTGGAATGCATCACTGCTCTTTCTCTGCCCCCATGACTTTCACCCCCAAACATCCACTCCCAATAACAACAATATGCCAAGAAGGCAGGCAGAAACCGTAAGAAAGGAGAAAAATTGCATTGGGAAACTCCAAGCAAGCTTAATTGAAGCCTAAAGGGGGGAGGCTTAGAAGACGGTACTCTTTTCATTTTGACGAGTAGGTTTCAACGCATTTGTGCTTTTTGGCTTCCTGCCAAAAAGCCGGCCGCTAGCATCAGCTTCATCCAAGCCTTCCCCGACCTTGATCTCCGGCTTCTCTGAAGGCAATCTGCCGACCCGGTTGGACGGAATGAGCCCATCTCTTCCCCCTGCCCCGAGAGCCAATCCAATCCCATACTGCACCCCGCCGGCCGGGGCAATATTTCGTGCCCCAATTACCGTACCCTGCAAGGCCATGCGGAGAGTGTAAGCGGAACGGCCATCAAATCAAGGAAGAAGGGTAGGATACAGCCGGAGGGATCTGAAAACCAAGAATGAGGAGTTCTTGAGGATCACTGGGCTAGCAAGCGCCAAAATCGACCCCTTACCTTGTCTGGGTGTCGACATGTAAGGATTATACGAAAATACGAATCCGCCCGCGCCAAACGCAACGCGAGTGGACTCGTATTTTGGTGTGCCGCGTAGCTGTCCATTTTTGGCCACATTCTGGTGTTTTTTAGGGAGGAAACAGGCGCCGATAAGCCATGGATTTCCGAGGGATGTCGCCGTCGCCGCGACACGCAACGCGCGCAATCTGTGCGTTACTTGGCGCGCTGCAGTGAATTGGCGTGGTAAATACATCATGATAGCCTTGGCTTGTCGGCCTATTTAATCGCTCCAAGATCTGTAAAAATTAGCACAAATTTCAGCGTGTTTTGAGCCCGAGGAAGCGAGCCCGAGACCCCAGTCTTTTTATCTGCGTCAAAAAGCCGAGTCCAGAATAAAAAAGCGATCCCCCGGAATTTCCCAGGACCTTTTCCACCTCCCGGGCGTTGCCATCGACTCCCAAAAAAGGTCTTTTGTGTTTGGTTCACCTTTTCTTAGAGGCTCCCTTTCCGCCTCCACCTCCTCCTCCACAGTCAATTAACGTTTCCGGGCCCCCGTTTTTGGAGCGTCCAGAAACGGCAGCGGGGTTGGAATGAGCTTCTTTGTTGCGGGTGGGTGCATCGGGAAAGAAAGACGAGCTGCGGAAAAAGAGGCTGCGAATTTTTGAACCCCTTTCCTGGTCTAAAGGGGCTGGGAAGCCAAAGTTTCGATGCTTTGGCTTACCAGTCCCTTTAAATGCTCGTTCCTTTCCCTGCCTAGATTTCTTTTCCTCAAGAATCCCTGCTAGCCTGACTTTTGCTCCAGAATTCCTGTTTGTTTACCCCTTCTCATGAATCTTTGCTAGGCTACACATTTCCCTGAAAATATTTGCTAGCCTGCTAGCCAAAGAATCCCCGCCAGCCTGCATGCAAATTACCAGCTTATGTCAAAAGCGCCTGGGAATTCCGTTAGAGTACTGTAAGCCAAGCCGGAGTGTGGGTTAATGTAGTCTAGCGAAACCACTTTTCCTGTCTAAATCCCTTTAAAAACTATCGTTTCTGGTTGCCCGTATGCACTGGTCGTTTATTTGAAATTCGTCACAAATTAGATGCTTGTAATGTCACGAATTCGAGCCGGTGCTGTAAAGGTTAGGCTTACTGTAATGCGCCCGAATTCAAATTTTTCCTCTTGAACGCTTTTAAAACGCTCTTTTCGGCTTGCATATCCTTTTTGAAGCCGTCCCCAATTGGTAGCATTTAATTCAACAATTTTCAGCAGGTGCTGTAATCTGGCGAACGTTCGGGGACTGTAATTTAGCAAATTCAAATTTTTGCCTCCGAAACCCTTAAAAAGCCGTCGTTTCCGGCCCGCCCTCTGGCCCTTGTCGCTTATTTTGAATTCGTCACAAATTGGCGGGGTGTGCTCCTCGCGCTGTTGGGCGGAGGGCGCCCAGCAAAAGCAGCAAAAGATTGTGTGTGTGGGGCGGGGGGAGGGGACACTTTTTGGCGCGGCATCGGGCAAATGGCAGAGGTGCGGGCAGGCGCTTCTGAATTCCGTAGAGACCGTCAGAAGTTGGAGGGTCAGACGTAAAAAGTCCCCAGATACACCCAAATTCTGGAGACGCCCGACAACACCCGCCCTCCGAAAAGCAACTCTCTGGAATGAGAAGAAGGAGGGGAGGGGCAGAAGCCGTGTGTGGCCCCACCCCCCATTCCTCTCCACTCCTCTGGACATCGATCCCCCTCCTCCCCGGTGTGTCGAGAGACCCAACCTCCCCCCTTTTTCGGCCGACCCGCCCTCCTCATCCCTTCAGAAGAAGAAGAGGAGCACCACCAGCAGCGCCCCCTTCAACAAATAGGCATACACACAAATGCCCCTCTTCAAGAAGCGCGACAATTCGAATGTGCGCGATCGCTTCGATTTCCGTGATGTCCTGGGAACAGGAGCGTTTTCGAAGGTTGGTGCAACTTCTTGGATTCAGTTTCTTCAATTTTTCTTACTTTCCAAAAAAACCTATTTAGAACCTTTCGGTTAAATTGAACTAAAATTGTTTACAAAATGGTCTAGAGATTTTGATTTGTGTTTTTTTTATTCAGCTTCTATTTCTTCAGTTTTTTTATTTAAGACAATTCCACTTTCCTGAAATTCTATTTTAATTTAAGAGTTTAATTTAGTTTAATTTTTTAATTTTTGTGGCTTGTTTCCGAAAGAATCCTGAAACTTTTCAAGATTTTACATCACAAAGTTCCGCGATAAGTGGTAAAAACCAGAAAACTGTCAATTGTTTATGCTAGCAAAACGCTCCCTCCCATCCCAACATATTTTCCCCCAAAAAGCAAACAAAAATTAGCAGCGAGTGGTTTCGATCCACCGACCTCTGGGTTATGGGCCCAGCACGCTTCCACTGCGCCACGCTGCTGTGCGATGGATGGCGCTCAGGGGGTGATAAGGGCTAACGGGGGTGGGGGCCATGGCTTTGCCAGAAGAGATCCGACCTAATTGCCGCAAATTGCCCGAGGCCTCAAGCCACAACATTTTTCTAGAGCCGGACTATTAGTTATAGAATTGGTTTGAGAATGTAGAAATTGGGTTACCGGATTTTTCATAATGTCAAAAATACAGAATTTTAAATTTTGACAATAACGAAATTTTATAAAGTGGAAATATCAAAATGTCGCACTTTGATAAAGAAATCATCCGAAAAACCTTAAATATTATGCAACAAATGCCATCGTATTTGGATTTCAGCATTATGAAATGTCGACATTATGCAATCGATAGGCATTATCAACTTCAGTCTTATGAATTTCGGTAGTTTGAAGTCTTGACACCTCCTTTACAAATGCCCAGGATTCCCCGACTCTTTGTTCCCCAATACCAATTACGCGACAAAAAAGCCCAAAAAACCCTAATTGGATGGGGAGGAGGGAGATAATTGAAGCCCCCGGATGCTGGCGGAAATCCCGAATTTCCAGGTGTTCCTTGCCGAGTGCAAAGCAGAGCCCGGCCACCTCGTCGCCGTCAAATGCATCGACAAGAAGGCGCTGAAGGGCAAGGAGGAGAGCCTCGAGAATGAGATCAAGGTGCTCAGAAAGTGAGTTGTTTTCTATGGATTTTACGGCTGCTCGGTATCTTTAGCGGTTCATGCCTTAAAGCTCGCTCCTACGCCGAAGCCTAAACCTAAGCCTAAGCTCACGTCCCTAAGCCCAAGCCGAAGCCTAGGCCTAAGCCTAAGCCTAGCCTAAATAAAAGCTCATATTCCTGCCTTGTCACTCCCTTTAAAATTCGTGTACATAGGTTCGAAAGATTTGTATACCTTTCCGATTAGTCTACCTCTACGGTCCACGGAAGCAAATGTTGGCCAACATTCCCAATCCCCCCCCCCCCCAAGCCGCCTCGCAAGACTATAAGGCGCCCCGGGAGGTAATTATAGTCAAATGACGCTTGGGATTTGTTGAAAATTGGCATCAATGGAGTATCAAAAGGTCTCTGAGGGCGTTTTTTGGAATGCCGCGTAGCTGTCGACGCCTAGCTCGGTGAGGGGTAGAAACATGCGCTTTCCAACAGCTTTAAAGGCATTGGCAAGGCTGGACCATAGATGCCCCCATCTCCGTCGCTCTCTCTCTCGTTCTCTATCTCGCTCCCTCTCTCTCGCTCTCTCTCTCTGTGTATCTCTCTCTCTCTTCTATTTTTCTTTCACCACGATTTTTAATAAAACGGCTTTAAAAGCGCTAACTCCTTTTCAAGAACCGGTTCTCAATGGTGTCCTGAAAAATCGGCATTTTTCCGCTTCCCAGCCTCTTTAAAAGCGCAAATCGTGCAGATAAACCTCAAAATTACTTCACTCTCCCCAAGGCTTCTCCATACCCCGGGGGGTAGATCACGACGGCTTATCCCACCCTTCTAGAGTGCCCCCCTCCAAAGTGAGCCCGGGGCCACTGGCGTGTAATCTCGTCACCCTCCATTCCATAGCACTCCCCTTGACGCACAACCTATTTCGCGCTCCCCCTCTCTATCATCCACACCCCGCCAACGCACCACAACAAATTCCGGGCTGCCGAGTATGAGCGGGCCAGACAGAACAAAAACTTTTTGCCGTGTGCGTGGGGGGCTGACAATTTCCCACATTTAAGCCCGGGGGCGGAGTGACACTAAAAATGTGAAAATGCGCGGGTTACAGGTAGAAACGCTGTAATTAGTATAGAAAGTACGAAAGGTAAGGTAAAAGACGTGTAATTCACGCGTGCGGATACCGTAATTAGCATAGAAAGTACCGTGTGGACGTCCAGGAGACTGGAAATTGAATTCAATAGTTACTTTTTATTGTCATAAGGCGTATTCCATTACGCAAGGGAAAGACGTATCTATAGAAAATCTACAGCAATGCCTTGCCCATCCCTTTAAATGGTCTGGAAACCCAAAAACTTGGGTTTCGGGAAGCGGCATTTGCTGTCCCACCCCCTTTAAAGTCTCCCCCGTTACGCGCCACAACAAATTCCGCGGTGTCGAGTATGAGGCGCCAGGCACAACAAAAAACTTTATGCACTGCGTGGGGGCAGCTGACAATTTCCCCACATACAAACCCGGGGGCGGAGTGACATGAAAAATTTCTAAAAACGTGTGGCGCACGCTTGGGCATACTGTAAACAGTATAGAAAGTATTGTGTGGGCGTCCGATGCTCCAAAATAAAAAAAACGCTGTCTTTTTGCTGTCATCCGCCAACTAGAATAGCAATAAAACTATCGAACAATTTAAATCCAACAAAAAAAGGCAAAAATCTATGTGAACTCGAAAAAATTCTAGGATCTAGATTTTCCAGGCTACGCCACCCGAATATTGTGCAGCTGTATGACACGTATGATGAGAAGGGGTTCGTCTACTTGGTGATGGAGCTGGTCACCGGCGGTGAGCTTTTCGACCGAATCGTCGCCAAGGGCAGCTACACGGAAAAGGACGCTTCACATCTCATACGACAGGTCGGAAATCGCATCCTGACTCTCTCTCCCTCTCTCGCTCACTCTCTCGCTCTCTCTCTCTCTCGCTCACTCTCTCGCTCTCTCTCTCTCTCGACCATAAATTCTTTGAGAGTTCTTATTCAAATTCTAACTTTTCTCTTTCTCCAGGTACTCCACGCCGTCGCCTTCATGCACGACAACGGCGTCGTCCATCGGGACTTGAAACCTGAGAACTTGTTGTATTACAACCATGAAGAGGTTTGAAAATTCGCTCTCTTTCTCTGACCATCTCTTGCTCAGGAGTCCAAGATCATGATCAGCGACTTTGGGCTATCGAAGACGGAAGACTCCGGGGTGATGGCGACAGCCTGCGGGACGCCTGGGTAGGTTTAGGGCAAAACTGTCAAAAATTTGCGTGCGTGCTACGTGTCCGTAGAATCGTAGCGTAGCCAAAAGTTCGACTACGCTGCGCTACTCTAGGCATCTGAATCGTATGCGCGCGTAACATTTGGTTTTCAGGCTCGTAGCTAGGCCAAAACGCAACAAAAAAGTAGTAAACAAAAGTAGTTTCTGTAAACAAAAAAAAATAGCTGGAGAAATCACGCGTTTCGTACGTCTATTGGAGCGTAGCGGAGCCATTGCTTTCATTGATTTTCGCTCGCTACATTTTAGTTCTCTCTCCCATCGCTCGCCTAGTATGCAAAAAAATCAGTGAACAAAGATACGATATGGCACTTAAAAGGCTTCCGCGTCTATTGCAGCATTCCGTGGCCCAAAATTGGCTACGTTAGGCTCCAGTTGGCGCAATGATTTTATGCCTGCCCCGCTTTTTAATTTTTTACGTATCCTCTTTTTCCAGCTACGTTGCCCCGGAAGTTTTGCAGCAGAAGCCGTACGGGAAAGCCGTCGACGTGTGGTCAATTGGCGTCATCGCCTACATTCTACTTTGCGGGTATGCTAGCTTTACGAACTCACTTTCAAGCTATACTCATTTTTCCAAACTCGCTGTACCAAATTAAACTAAAACTTTTCCCCCGAATTCCCTCCCCCCCGCATTCCATCAGCCAGATGGGCTGGTGGAAGACCTGGAAAAGCCGATGGGGCTTCCACGGCTTCACCGCCGCTAATTAAAGGATTATCCCCCCGGCTCGGCTCAACGCGCCCGATGCCGTGCCGGGGTACGGTAGACCGGGCGAGGATTTTGAGCTCACCGGAATGCCATGAATCATAAGGCGCTGTACGTGTATAAAGCCGTGCGTAGATCTTGTCATTTCATCTAGGGATTCTGAAAATAACGCACGCAGGTTTTATAATCCCGTTCAACCGATTCGGAGTCAAAAACCGCTGAAATGCTATTTCCCGGGAAAATTGGGGAAAACGAAACGCCGACAGCTAAAATGCCTACAGCCGAACTGCCGAGACCCAAAATACCAACAGCTAAATAAATCCATGCCAAGAAAATTTCGATTACCAAGTCGTCCTGTCCGCCGGTCTGCCAAAATGCCGACAACCTGTCGGTTGTCGTCATTTCGGCAATTTGGTTGTCGGCAATTTGATAATTTAGTTTCTGTGCAGTTTGGTTGTCGGCATTTCAGTAATTTCGGTATGGGCGTTTTGGTTGTCGGCCTTTTGCCAACTGAGCTTTGGGTATTTTAGCTGTCAGCATGTTAGCTGTCGGCATTTGACTAGCGCACGATCCGCCTGTAAATCTCTGAAAAAATGCCGATCGGGTTCCTCACGTCGGCATTTTGGCTTGTCGGCATTTCCGCTATTACGTTTTCCATAGCCCTCAGCGCCGTTTCCGGAAATTCACTTCCGATTTACACCACAGAATTCCCTCCACAATTCAAGGAAATACGCTTTCTCACGGAATTTTCGGCTTGTTTTCCCTGCCCTTAACACTTGGTCGGTGGCCAGGTGGAAAATTGGCCCAAAATAGCCTTCTCGGAGGTCTAGGCAGACGAAATGCTGGTTGAAGTCTAGCCTTTTTGCTCGAAATCGGGCCCAAGTACAAAAAATGAGCTCCAAGGTTCAAGCTCCCCCAAAAACAGCTCCCACCGGAATCGAATAGCTTCTTTTTCCTCGCTCCGAAACAGAGCTTCCATGTGATTCCGGTGAATCTCCCTCCAAAACACAGCCCCCAGAAAATTGCCATATAATCGAACCGGGGCCCCCAAGTCTGCGAAAAAATCCTATCAACCTGAACGGCTCCCCCTTTAGAAGCTTTTCCCTCCATTTAATCCAAAAACCGGCCTCGGTTTCCAGGAGGGGGCCAAATTGTTGCCGGCAACCGGATTTCACCGGATGGAGACCTCGGGGCAAATCCGAGGATCATCCTGGAATTTGCCCCGGGGGCCCCTCTAGAGGTCCCGCATGTTATCCCAGACATTCATCACGTTCTCGGGGACCGGAATAGCCGGAGAACCGCAAAAAAGTGATGGAAAATAAAGTGCTGGGAACCGGGAATTTTAGAACTGACAGAAATAGTGGAAACCACAAAAATTAGAGCCTTAAACTACACTTACTAGTTAATACATTTTACTAGGCGCAAATTCCTAAAAAAACACGAAAATAATTCTATAAAACTATAAAAAACGTGATCGAGGCTATGGATTTACAAAAATAAAGAAAACGTTTCAAATAGCAATTACCTTTAATAAATTTTCGAGGGTAAAAACATTATAAGGTAATTTGTAAAATTTGAGAGAATCAACAACTAGCGATACGTAGCCTCATCGAAACGGTGGATTCCAGAGAAAAAACTATGAAAAATAGCAATTTTAAACACCTTTTAACCTATTTTCCAGGTACCCTCCATTCTACGACGAAAACGATGCGAATCTCTTTGCTCAAATCATCAAGGGTGAATACGAGTTTGATGCCCCCTACTGGAACGAAATCTCGGATTCTGGTAAGGAGAAACTTGTTGAAAACGCTGGTAATCTACCTCTCAGTAGCGACCCTTTTTGAAAGACTAAAATTCGTTTCAAACACCAAAAAATCTGCGCCAAGCTCGTCGAAAACGCCGGGAACCTACGCCTAATTAGCGAACCCATTTCGGAATGACGAAAAGCGGCAAAAAAGCTGTTGAAAATTGAAGGAATCTACCACCGATTAATCACTCTTTTTTTTTCCTAAATGATTCGCTCTACATTGTCTAAAAACAGGCCTGGGAATGGGCCGGCCCGGGCCGGCCCGCAGCCAATTTTTCGGCCCGGGCCGGCCCGGGCCGGCCCGACATTTTGGGTACATTTTTACCAAACCAGCATATACCATCCTTTAATTTTTCCGGAGTCACAAAAACGTGTTAGATCAACTCCGTTAATCGTCTATAGGCTTGCACAACGGATTTAGTTATAGTATGTAACGAGGATTTATTCATAGAGCAGCATACAACCCGTTACACCTTTAGTTCAATAGAAAAAGTCTGTTTTACTTAGTGGAGTTCAATTTCTTTGACGCCTACGTGTAGTTTGAACGCTAATACACTTAAATAAAGCTAACAAGGCATATTCCCAGCATTTTTGAACATTTCCGGCCAAAAAAAGCAAAAAGCAAAAGATTGACCTCGGCCGGGATTGAACCCGGGTCGTTTTCCTGATAAATCAAAGTTAAACCACAACTCGGATTTTTTTTCTTTTATCTGTTTAAGCAGATGATTTAAGTTCAATCTCAATAAGAAAAACTCATAATGTAATTAAATTACCTCATTTAAACTCAATATAACTTATTGGCAAGGTGGCGGGCCGGCCCGGGCCGGCTAGACCCTCCGCATATATTTGACGGGCCGGGCCGGGCCGGCCAGCCAGCCTAAAATCCCGAAAATCTCGGCCCTGGCCCGGCCCGGCCCACCAAATTCCCAGGCCTGGTCTAAAAAGGCGCACAAAACTTGCTGAAAACAGCGCTAATCCACCTCTCATTACGTACTAGTTTTTCACAAGCGATTAGCCTTAGATCCACTCAAAAAGCGGCCGAAACTTGCTGTAAACCGAGTTAATCTACCTCTCATTAGTCACCACTTTTCAACCTTGATTAGCTCTAAAATTCATTAAAACACTTTCAAAAAACAACCCGATAAGCCGCTATAGCGTCACGCCGCTTGACGCACGTCAATGACCCCCAAAATCGTCCGAAATCCACGTGACGCCCTCCAAAAAGCTACTCACACGCCTAACTGCGTAATCCGAAATCCGTTTTGAACGTAATCGAGTCAGCCGCGACGCCACTAATCGGCCCTCGCAGCCACTTTCGCACGCTCGTCGACCAACGACACCGCGGCTTTTAGGGATTCTTTGGCGCAAAAATATGAATCTGAAAATGTCAAAGTATAAAAAGGGCCTTTTTCCAGCAAAAGACTTCATCTCACATCTGATGTGCTGTGACCCGGATGCGCGCTATACGTGCGAGCAGGCCCTTGCCCATCCTTGGTGAGTCCCAAACCTGAAAAAACGTTGCAGAAATCCTACTATATATAAAAAAATAGTGTCTGTGTGTGTGCATTTGCATGCAACTTCCGTCCGGCTGTTCCGCACGTATCGGGTCAGGGGAAGGCTTTTAAGGCACATATGATACGTCATTAGATGCGTAATGGCGCCGAGATAAGTGCACGCACATAAAAGTTTGGAAAAATTACTGTTTTCGCTATTAAAATCGAGTTTTTGTAAAGATATCGAGAAACCTCTTTGTTAGGAGGCAATTTGCATGCGCCGGAAGTGGGGTAAGCCTATATAAGGGCGCGGAAGGGGTTCTTTTTATTTTTTTGCGATCAAGGTCCTGGAAGAATATGCATATTTTTGACTATCATGTGCGTTAGACGGGGCCAGGGTTGAAAAGCCGCGAAGCGGTTTTTCAACCCTGGTATTTATTAAAAGACTACCAGGGTTGAAAAGCCGCTACGCGGCTTTTCACCCCTGGCCTTTGCGCGGGGATCTTTAAAAGGTACAATTCGGATAAGCGGGGGGAAACTTTTAGGCGGGGGAAACCAACTTTTTTTGTCGGCCCTGGTGGGGATAGAAATCAAATATCAAGTGTTTTCACATTGTTTTTAGCAACGCTTAAGCCTATTTAAATCGGAAAAACTTTTTAAAAAGTTAGAAAAACGCTTGAAAAGTTGAAAATTTGGTCATTTTAGGGCCGAAAAATTGATTTTTCGACCTAAAATTAAATTTTTTAATTAAGTTTTGTAAAGTTTTTATGTTTAGGAATAGCTATAAACAATTTAGAAACACTTCCACTATTTATATAAAAAATATAGGCTTGGGCGGAAAAAAGTTCGGTTTCCCCCGCCTAAAATTTTCCCCCCCGCTTATCCGAATTGTACCCTTTAAAAGTTGGGCTTTGCATAATTCGGGCGAAGAGCTAGAGCGAACCCTAAAAATAGCAAAAGCAACCAGCCGTGAGCGCGACAAAGCCAAAATGAGGCTCCTAGCGCCTCGTATGCAAATTAGTCTATTTCCATATGTTTTTAAAACGTTAAAATAAGGTATAAAACGAAATTTTAGTAAAAATCTGATAAGCGTGCAGTCTTCTACGCCCTCGACTACCCCTAACTACCTTATTTCTGGACAAAAATTCTTTCCCTTCGAGTTATGTGGCTGGAACCCGGGTTTTTATGCAAAGTGTCTACACACACACAGACACTATTTTTTTATATATAGTAGGATAAAATGCGAGAAAGTGTAGAACTAGTCGAAGCCACTAAAAACATCATTTCCTCTGTAGGATCAGCGGCAACACGGCGTACACCAAGGACATCCACGGTTCGGTGGCCTCGCATCTCAAGAAGAGCCTGGCGAAGCGGAATTGGAAAAAGGTAAAAACAAAGGTTTATTCAGCCTATTAACGCTTATCAACGCTTATTAACATGCATATACGACCCTATGAGATATTAATATCAATTTTGCGGGGTCAACGCGGTCGCTGCTAGTTTTTTTGAGCGATGAAACTTGATACATCACCCCAATTGACCCTACAATATCGGGTTTATATACACAGGGAAATACAATAATAGCTATGAAAATATCGAGATCCGTTTAGTCAACTGGCCAACCGGAAAGGGGCAGTTTTCGGCTCTATCGCTCGTATTTAACTGCGTTTAATAGTTTTATGAAATAGTCTGAATAGCATGTTCTGGGTAGTTAACGGAGGGGAGTTTCGCCGTTAGTTTCCCTTTACCCCTGCTATTTTAGATCTACAATCTTTGAGCTGTAAGTTGCAATTCATAGCACTTTTTATGGGTAGAGTTTACTATGCCCCCAAGGCCGAAGGGTCTCAAGTTGTCGGTATTTTATCGCTTATTTTGTCCGGATTTTCGCATAAGCACACGTCGATAGACGTCTGAAAAATATGCTGAGAGTTCTAATTTGAGGCCTACAATAATGTCTTAAACATAAAAAATTCTAGCAAGAAAACAGTTCAGCTGGGGGTTAAAAGTAAACCGTAGCCCTTTCTATGCACGATCGAATGGCGTTTCGGAAGGTTTAAAAAATAGCGACAATTTTCTCGATTTGCCAAGTCCTATTTTAAGATCTATTATTGTGTTATTTTTTATAGCTATTGGAGATTGAACTATGAAAAAACTTTTACATAGAGTTTACAAAAATTTAAATATTATATAAGCGTCGTTCCTGGCTTAAGATGCATTTTTCAGGCGTACAACGCAGCCGCCGCCATCCGCCAACTGCAATTGCTCAGAATCTCGATCGTCGCGCGGCTGGCCGCCTGCCAGCAGGTGCGGCGGCGGCCGCACAGAGCCGGCCGTTCCAGCTGTAAAAACGACATCAACTGCTGCCCTCCCCCTGTATTGCCCCTTTCGAATGTGACGATCTCATGACACTGGTACTCCCTAAAAATCTTGCATAACATTACGGCGAAATTTCTTTCTTTATGCTATTCAAGTTGGTGGTGGCCACTTTATATTTTAAGCCTAGGCTAAGTTTTGAAGTTTTTTTTCCATTATGAAGAGATATCGATTATGCCAAACTAAATCTAAGCTGAAAACCAAAATAACTTTGGCCTACGCATAAACATACCCAAAAAGTGGCGGATGAACTTGAATAGTACCTTTTCAGGGCTTCCGAACCGATGGTGTCGGAACGTTTTCTCCTAATATAACAAATTCTCTATGAAGTTATAATATTAATTTTATATAAATTGGATTCCATCTGACTACGTGCCGATACCATCCCTCCAAACCCCGCATCTCAAGCTGTACTTTCGAATTGATTCCCGAAACTACAGACATTTCCGGGACACCTCAACAAAAAGCGGCGAAATACATCTGCGTGTGTGTCAACGCCCAAACCTGTAAATTCTGTACGAAATCTATTTTTTTTTTTGAAAAATAAATACCATTTATCATTCTCAACGATCAACAACGAAGCGAGACACAGAGATATGCGAATGCGCCACAAAAACCCAGATATACAGAAAAACAAAACCAGAAAATGTTGTGTGCGGAGAAGGGCGGACTAGTCATGCATTGGAGAGTTCGTGCTAGCGCGTGGGGAATGCTTTTTGGCACCTCGATTATATATCCCGAAATAATACATATAGTGATACCAAATGGGGGGCCCAGTAAATACGTATTATTATTCGTCGATGAGATCAGTTGTTCTTTTTGGCGGGGGTGACCTTTTTCTTCTCTTCCTCGTCCTTTTCGATCAGATGGCCCTCGTCGTAGTTCCACAGGTCGGAGAATTCGCCCCTAAACAGATATAATGACGAAATATGATATTTAAAGGGTTCTTTGCTATTTTCGGGGGGTCTGAATTTTTCGTAGAAGTCCAGAAACGTCTCTAACTTTATAGTAATAGTACTTCATTTTCATAGAGCTTTCAGCAAATATGAGCTATGCTATGCTATCCAGTAAATAGAAAATGTTTCAATAAAATGGGAATTTTGGTCGAAAAATCGGTGAAATGGGGAAAATGTGAAAAAAAAATGGGGAAGATGCTAGGTTCTTATTATTTCCGGGGCATCAGGATTTCCTCTTCCTCTATTTATATTTGCAAAAAAAATCGAGCGTGGGGATAAAAGATCCGGATTCCCCAGATATACGAAGCAAACTTTTGAAAATTTACCTAATCAACGACAAAAGGATCGGAATCAACAGGCACGTGGGCACCAAGTAGAGCAAGGCGGGTTGGGCGCGCTAAAACAGATCAAGTAAAACGTCCGCTTTTTTAACCGAAACCTTGAAATGGTGCATGACGGCCATGGTGATGAAGAGGCCGAGCATATAGGCGATGATCGTCGTGATGAAGTAATACCTAGACATTTGTTGATTTCAGTTGAATAAAGCCAAAACCAACCGTCCCTTCGCGTCCTTCGGCTTGTTGCCCTGCGCGCCAAGACGCTGGTCAAAACGGCGGAGGAGCGCGATGAAGATACCCGGGATGACAATGTCGCCGAGACCTGAAAAGGCGAATAATCGAAAAATTAAAGCAAATTACCGAGCATCGAGTGCTTGCTGGCCTCGAGCCACCCGTTCTGGTAGAAGTCTTGCGGGAATTGGAGAAGAATCGGCGCATCGATGCCCTGAAATTTATAAAGTTTCCAACTGGATAAAAACTCCTCAAAAAAAGAGGAATATTTCAGCCAATTGCTCATTCGATAGAACTTGGATTTTTGAGCAAGTCCCATCTTGACAAAACTGCTGATGGATACCCGTTTTCGAGAAAATCGTTTAAGAGGGGCGATTTTGTCCATCTTTGCCAAAATTTGCGTAGTTTTGAAGCTTTTCCGATATAAAGCAGAAGAATTTCGAGCCGTATCTAAGGAGCTAAAGCGTTAAAAATATTATATTAGCTAAAAGCTACTCCTAATCCGCAAATATTTCCCAGAAACAAACCTTTGCCACCGAAGTCATAACATCCGTGGCGAACACCCAGAAGATGTCGTAGACGAAGAGGCCGGAGAGCAGCAGGCTGCCTGCCTTGAACGAGCTGAGGTGGAGGTTCTCAATGCCGTAGATGGAGAACGCGACGCCGAGGATGTTGTTGGTCACCCAGTGCCTAAACATTCAGTTTTTACGTATATTTTTTTCAGTACCTGCGGTAGAGATGGGAGATGGCGACGGCCGAGCATAGGACAAAGCCGATCAGGTCGTGGCTGTCGTATTCCATTTTGAAGAGGTACTCCTGGAAAAAATGCTCATTCTCAACGTTTTATCGGCTTTTCCGGGGGTTTGCTAGCAACAAGGAATTGGAAGGAAATGTTGTGATGACAAATTTTTGTACGAATCGCCGTTTCCAGAACTTTTTTGAAAATTCTCTCCAAAAGAAGGGGCCATTGTGCTACCGTGAAAAATGTTAGAAGATCTAAAAAGTTTTATAAAGTGAACTTACCGTATCCTTCTTTCCAGCCTCTTCGATATCTCCAGCATCCATTTCCTTCTTTCCCTTCTTGAAGGAGATCAGGTACGGAGTGTTGCGGCGGGGCCACCTGAAAACGCAAAGGATACGACCAGAAAAACCTTTCGAACCTGTCGCCAATGGGGAGAATTCGCAAGAATCGCTGATAGAAGGGCTTCAGAATTCCAGCCAAAGCGACGCAGCCTTAAAACGTGTAATTGAGCCTGCGTTGCTAAATTCAACCTTCCAAACAGAGGAACACGAGAAGGAAGGTCATAAAGTGCTGCTTGGTGACGGTGGGGATGTACTCGAGCAGATACTTGGCATTCTCGGGGACCTATAACAATAAATGGGCCTTGTAACCTAAACTTACATGACTTTCGATACGCTGGAAGAGACCAACGCTGCCCTCCTGGGGCAGCAGCGTTTTGTTGAGCTTCTCCGAGATGTGCGTCGGCACATACGTCGCCAGGAACCCACAGAGCCAAGCCTTACCGTCGGGCCTAAAAATATAAGTAAATCAAAAGTCGAAATACTACTTGAAAAAGATGTAGAGGGAGAACAGCACGATGGAGGCGGTGATCGGGAACTTGCGAGCCTCGTTGACGGTGATCGACGTCTAAAAATAACGTTTCTCAGTCTAAAAACGAGCTACCTCAATCAAGCGCTTCTTGCTGATCAACCGCCGCACAAAGTTGGCCGAGTTGATGCCGCCCCAAAAGATGCAGAGCAGCGAGAGCCCGTAGAGGACCAGCGAGGCGGTGGCCTAAATCGAGTTCAAAACTAAGCATAAAAAGAATTACCTGTTCGTAGAAGGAAAAGGTCATATTGGCCGCAGCCGGAGCCCCATCGATGACCGGTTCGGCTTGCTCGGCCATTCTACCCTGAAAATAAACATTTTAAAAGAGTGTGAAAAGCAATGAAGCGAGAATTTAAAGGCAGAGAAACGAAAATCAAAATCCTATGGCATAAAAGCTTAAAAAAATCGATCAAAGGACGCATTTTTCAAATTTAGAGTTTAGAGTTTAAAGTTTTCCATTTTAGTATCAGTACGAAAGCACCTAAATACGCCTTCCGTCTAAAATTAACTATTCGGAATGTTCCGGAATTTTCCGCGATGTCGATGTAAAATTAATTTTTGAAAAGTCCACATAAATTCCACTTCCCAAGTTTTTTTGATAAAATATTTCGATTTTTCGCTTCCCCTGACCCATTTCAACATTCCTGCCACGCGCCGCGCTTTTCCCCACCGATTTTCCGATAGCACAAAGTCAAAAAGCAAACGCGGGGACGATTTTTCGTGTTTCCCAGGCGAAGAATAGGCTTTGTGGGGGATTTGCCCATGTAATATGGGCATCTCCACGTCGCCCAGCCCGCATCGCTATTCGGGGCCACGCGTGATTGGCCCGGGGCAACGGGCTGCGATTGGTCGCCCGGGTCCGCCCCTTTTTCAAAAAGTTGCTGCATTCTCCGTTCCCCCATCGTCCACATCGGGCTATATCGGCCTTGACCCCGAGTCGGGCATGGGCTAAGCCTATTCCGCACCCCGGTTTACCCCATTTCTTCTGTTTCGATCTTAGAGCCCAATCTTCAAAGCTTGCCAAGAATCCTTATTTAGATCCGGTGGGCGTGGCCTCGGTTTGCACACGTCGCCTAAGTACTGAGAGGGCCCCCACAGGCTATCTGAGCGGCCATTCCTTCGTGAAGCACGACGATGAGGCGCTCGTCCGCTCTCTTCCTACTCTTCTTCCTAGTTGCATCTATCGGTTAGTTATTCTTTGTCAAGCATAGCTAATTGGGTGTTTTGCAGCGATCTACCCCCCTTCACCAGCGCCGAAGATGAGGTAGATGATGTGAACGGAAAGGTCAACACCGGCAAAGGAAAGGGAACTGATCAGGACACGATTGCAAGGTAAATTTTATCTCTGTGAAAATAACCGGAAGTGCTCTTTTTTTGGGTACTGATCACTTTCAATAGCAAACATAAATCCTGGTGCCACTTGCGTTGACCTTTTGATTCGTGGGAAATCGTGAATTGGGTAATATAAGCCTGACTTTTCTTTTATTTTTCAAAAAAATTATTTGGGGCACCTTGACGCCTCTTCCTTCTTTCCATCATTAGGCGGAACTGTTAGGCTGGCGCGCTGGTCGGGTAACGGACTGGTTTATTTGCCGTACCGGGCTGCGTGGGGTCACCACTATTTACTAAGAGACCGCCCAAGGCCAAGAAATCCTCGGACATTTACTTTTCTCGTCAAATACTCTCAACGTCTGGGGTGGGGCTCCACCGGTTTTTATTTGTTTAACCCCTTTGTACTTCAGTCCATAAAAACCGGGAAGCCTTCCGCGGATATTGATAAGGCTTGTGGGGGAATGGATTGATGGCGTTGCAAGTATGGGAAGGGTCTAGGATATAAAAGGCTTGAATAATAATAATTAAACTTTTTTAGGGAAGAAGAAGCCATCAAGCTCGATGGTCTGTCCGTGGCCGAGGTCAAGAAGCTCCGAGCGGCCGCTGAAAAACACGAATTCCAAGCGGAGGTCAACCGGATGATGAAGTTGATTATCAACTCGCTCTACCGCAACAAGGAGATCTTCCTTCGTGAGCTGATCTCTAACGCTTCCGATGCCCTCGACAAGATCCGCCTGCTTTCGCTCACCGATCCCGACCAACTCCGCGAGACCGATGACACCAGCATCAAGATCAAGGCTGACCGCGACAACAAGGTGCTCCACATCATCGACTCGGGTGTCGGCATGACCAAGAAGGATCTGATGAACAACTTGGGAACCATCGCCCGCTCCGGAACCTCCGAGTTTATGAGCAAGCTGATGGACTCTGCTACCAGCCAGGAGCAGCAACAGGTACGATTTCCTCTCAACGATTAGTTGCAAATTTTCTAGGACCTGATCGGCCAATTCGGAGTCGGCTTCTATTCGGCCTTCCTCGTCGCCGACCGCGTGGTCGTCACCACCAAGCACAACGATGATGACCAGTACATCTGGGAATCTGACTCGGCCAGCTACTCCCTGACCAAGGACCCCCGCGGAAACACCCTCAAGGTATTCAGTATTCGACTTTTCTAAACTCTTCTTTAGCGCGGAACGCAAATCACGCTCTACATGAAGGAAGAGGCCATGGACTTCCTGGAGCCGGACACCCTCAAGAACCTCGTCCACAAGTACTCTCAGTTCATCAACTTCAACATCTTCTTGTGGCAGAGCAAGACCGAGACTGTCGAGGTATCGAATAATTCGATTTTTAACCTATCGGGAATAATATCCACTCGTAACTGGAAACTAACTACTATTTCAGGAGCCAATTGAGGAGGAAGAGCCCAAGGAAGATGGCGCCGTCGAGGAGGAGAAGGAGAAGACCAAGAAGGTCGAGAAGACGATCTGGGACTGGGACAAGGTCAACACCGTCAAGCCGATCTGGATGCGCAAGCCTTCCCAAGTCGAAGATGAGGAGTACAACGAGTTCTACAAGAGCGTCACCAAGGACTCGACGAAGCCCCTGGCCCATGTGCACTTCAACGCTGAGGGTGAAGTCTCCTTCAAGGCTATCCTCTACGTGCCCAACAGCTCGCCCACTGATATGTTCCAGAACTACGGAAAGGTGCGTTTTATCTACAAAATCTGAAAACTTTATTTGATAGGTTGCCGAGAACATCAAGCTCTACGTCCGCCGCGTCTTCATCACCGATGACTTCGCCGACATGATGCCTAAGTACCTCTCCTTCATCCGTGGTATCGTCGACTCTGACGATCTGCCCCTCAACGTTTCCCGCGAAAACCTCCAACAGCACAAGCTCCTCAAGGTCATCAAGAAGAAGCTCGTCCGCAAGGTGCTCGACATGATCAAAAAGCTCGAGGGCGAGCAGTTCGACAGCTTCTGGAAGGAGTTCTCCACCAACGTCAAGCTCGGTGTGATGGAAGACCCGTCCAACAGGATGCGTTTGGCCAAGCTGCTCCGATTCCAGGTAACAAATCAGTTTCATTAAAAAAAACAAGGTTTTAGTCTTCCAACGACGACGAGAAGCTGACTTCTTTGGCCACCTACGTGGAGCGCATGAAGGAGAAGCAGGAGCACATCTTCTACATGGCTGGCACTTCTCGCAAGGAGGTCGAAACGTCGCCGTTCGTTGAGCGCCTTCTCGCCAAGGGATACGAGGTTTGTGCTTACGATTAGCTTTCGACAAATATCTGAGTAATTTGGTCCTAACACACCTAAATTTAGGTTCTCTACCTGACCGAGCCCGTCGACGAGTACTGCATCCAGGCTATGCCCGAATTCGAGGGCAAGAAGTTCCAGAACGTCGCCAAGGAGGGCATCAAGATCGAGGAGGGCGAGAAGGGCGAAGAGGCGCACAAGGAGCTCGAGAAGGAGTTCGAGCCCCTCACCGACTGGCTGAAGGATAAGGCCCTCAAGGACAAAATCGAGAAGGCCGTCGTGTCGAAGCGCCTCGTCAAGTCGCCATCGGCCCTTGTTGCTTCGAGCTACGGCTGGTCCGGCAACATGGAGCGCATCATGAAGTCGCAGGCCTACGCCAAGGCCAAGGATCCCACCCACGACTTCTATGCCGCCCAGAAGAAGACCTTCGAGATCAACCCGCGCCATCCGGTCGTCAGGGAACTGCTTCGCCGTGTTGAGGCCGACAAGGAGGACAAGAAGAGTTTGGACACGGCCGCTCTGCTTTTCGAAACCGCGGCACTGAGGTAAATTCCATTAATAAGTATCTTATCTTGTTTTTTTTAGGTCCGGCTTCTCTCTGGATGACCAGGTCGGATTCGCCGAGCGCATCGAAGCTGTGATCCGCCAGAATCTCGAAGTTTCCCAGGACGCCGAGGTAATTCAGAATCTTTCTAACTCCAATATGTTTTGTCATAGGTTGAGGCCGAGCCTGAGCACGAAGAGTCTACCGAAAAGGCCGCTCAGGAGGAGGAGATTGACGTCGAAGAGGAGCACTCTGAGCTGTAGAAGCCAGTCTCGACCATCTACGCCGCATTTCCACCCACCCATTTCCACTACATCTCAACCGAGCAATACCGTTACGAGTATGTAATGCTCTCAAAAGCGCTTTCCTGTCTCAGCGCACTATCCCCCCATACACTCAAGGGTTCGGTAGTTTCTGTGTTTTTCTTCTAGTTCTTTTGTCTGTGGTTTTTCGTTGTGATCGGGATTCTTTTTCCAAAGTAACGATTGTTGATATCACCCCTCCGAGGGGGCCTCAATGTGATACGGTTTTTGGTCAGTAATAAAGCTTTCTTGCTTCCGAATTGGACGGAAAACACAGGCTTTGCCAACCATTAATTATATTCGGCAGAGATACAAATTGGCACTGGTGGTCAGGCTGCGCGAAGCACACGTCCAAGCGAAAATCACTATTCAGTAATTGGGTAGCGCGGATCGATGAGTGCAACGGAAGAAGAGCCCGAAAGAATGGCAAACCGTGTGGCAGGTATTTTCCGGGCATGAAAATTAACTCAAATTAGGGGTGACGTTGGAATCCGATTCGCTGCCAGAATCGGCGGTTGGGAAGAGGGTACGGCGACGACGAAAGACACGACCAAAGCAGATGGAGGTACGACGCTTTTTAACTGTAAAAAAGCTTTATTTCGAAGAAGTAAGAAAATGCTAAACTAATTCTCTAGGTCGATCCTCCCGTCCCACTCGGCCCACCACGCGAACCACGACGCCTCCAGGACCACGGCGATGGTTTCTTGACATTTGTGACATAATCTTTGCCTAGGCTCGCAAATGGACTGGCAGGTCGAAGAATCCGATATCTGCTCCACTGACTCCGGCTCCCCACGCAACCATGACGCCGACGATGAGCAGAGCGATTGGGTCGGATACGCCGGCAACGAAATGGAAGAGGTATCTCTGCGCCTAATCTGCTGTACCCACGCATCGTCTTTCAGGCAGACGTCGCTGGCCCATCATCCGCATCCGAACGGCGACGACGATCGGGAAAGCCGTCGACCGCCATGTCCGTCATTCAAAGCAAGCTGGAAAAGTATGGTTGCCAACACTCAACACGTTTTGGCTTTAAGATTTTCGAAAGATCCTGCCTCAACCGAATTAACGATCGATCTACGCGCGAAAGAACGAACACAAACTGCACAGGTATTTTTCAGCAACAGCTAAACACGCTTTATTTAGTTCGGCCGCTTCCTGCAACTCTACAAATTGGAAATTGTCCGGCGGCAACGCGGTACGATCATCCTACGCAAGCGCCGACCTACACTAGCCGTCACCGCTCTCACATAGACTAACCAATAACAAAAATGTGCGAACTTTATTTGTAAATTGCGATAAATTGCCGCTAGCCTATTGTGATTTAGACTTTCCAGTGCGTCTCGGGTATTTGACTTTGTCGTCATAATAAATTTGCGAGTTTCGATTTTCAACGTAGAAAGCCTTTACTCATCAAATCGTACACCCGTAAAATCTTGAAAATTGCAAAATACATTGATCACTGGAATGATTTCTTGGCTTGTAATTCCTTCAGCACTCCCTCGAGGTCGTCGTCTTCCACCTTGTTCTCCAGCGACGGGATTAATGCTTTCGCTTCCTCTGCGCTGTCCGGGCACAGATTCCCCAGTTGGGCCACCTCGAATTTGTGCAGCTCTCGCGCGCCGAAAATGTTGCGCACGGCACGGATCGTCTCGCGGTTCTTGTAGCGTGAAAAGCGACTTGCGTACTTCATTGTTTTGACGAACACCTCGCTCATGTCCTCGATTTCGTCCTTCTGATCGTTTTGCTGCCGCCGATGCTCGAGTAGCAAAAAGACTTCGGAGATCAGCAGGGGAGTCACAGTGTGGATCTTCGAATTCCTTTGGAAATTTGAGGTCAACGGCGTCTTCTTCGAATGCCTCATCTTTTTGGGTGGTCATCTGAAAAGTGAAAATGTATTTCATGAGTGATAACTGGCACAACTCAATGAACGGAGAAAAAGAGCTTTTCAGCACGGTTATTGATATTTTAGCAAAATTCTTTAGAAAAAGTATTTTTGAAATGGAGGCATTCCGAATATACGAGGGAGATGAGAGAGGCGGGCCAGCAGAAGAGACGCAGAGAGAAATCGGGCGGATACGGTCGCTTGACCCGTTTTAGCCGCCTTCTTTTCAATGGCCGTCGCCACCCGCAAAAATTTGGCAACCCGTATTTAACGCCCTTTCCCCCCCCCCTCCCCCCTCTGTAAATGACGCCCCCTTTTTTTCCCCCCCCCTTATTAACTTTCCTTTAAATAACGCCCTGCAAAAGAGCTTTCCTGTAAATAACGCCCTTTTCGGGGTCATTTGGGGGCGTAAATAAAGGAGATAAGACAAAGGGGGGGGTTGGCCAAGGGGGAGGGCAGGGGGAGGGGGAGAGGGGGGGGGGGCGTTAATAAAAATAAAAACCAAGACTAAAATTATGGATCAATGTTATGAAAGTCACAGGTTTTTTCTACGTTAACTGCAAAATAAAGAAGGCACTTATATTTGTGCTTCTGCTCAAGTAGCCATATTTATTTCTGGACACCGTTTCACCATTTTTCAAATCACAATCGAGTTTTTAGTAGCTTTATAAGAGTCGGGTATTGCTTGGCGGTGACGTTGTCGCTACTGGACGGCCGTGTTGGTGGTGATCGTGGTGACGGAGCGTTTCTAAAGCGATTTTAACGTTTTTGAATGCCGGGCCGACCCCATGTCCCTTCGACTTGTTGAGGGCGGCGCGCGCGGTGGGCGTCTGGATGGCCGAGAACTAAGAAAACGCCGTGTTATTTGTGTTTTCCTGTTGTTTTCACCTCAGTGGGCATGCTCTGCATGGTGGTGGCGGTGTGAATCGTGGTGGTGGTGCGATTCGGGGTTCTCTAGACGGTCCGGACGCTTACTTAGCTTGATTTGTGCTACCAAATCAGCGGCAATCATTGGTCGCAGCTGGGAGGCCGGCTTCAGCTTGGCGGGCGTGGTGCCGGGAGGTGGGCGACAACGGCCGGATCTTAAAAAAAATAGCGTATCCATTTGGAAGGTATCTATAAATGTACGTGGTAGTAAACGCGCTTAAACTTACTGATAGCTGTTGGTGTAGGGGGTCGGCTCGACTTCGAGTTCGCGCTCCTGTTGCGGCGTCACCTGGATTTGTGTCACCTGCACACAATTTTGTGGCCTTGCCGTTTTGGAAGGGGTTTTATCTTTATTTCAAGTGGAAAACAATTAAAAATTGATCTAAAAAATTTTGGTCGAAAAACCTATATTTTTGTATTTTTCAACGTAAATTTGTAAAGTTTTATGTTTGTAAATAACAAAAACAGTGTAGAAAAATTTTCGCTATTCATTTTATAAAAATTGTAACCCTAAGAATAAGGTTCGTCCCCCCCCCGATATTGCGAAAGAACCGAACAACTGTCATTAAACATGCTTGTAAAATTTAGCGCTGTACTCTTGGTGTCTTACCCGCTCATACCCCCAAATTCACCTCAATAGCGACGAGCATCAGCTTCAAGTCGCTGTGCTGCACATTGAGCGTCAACTTGGTCACCAGCGTGCCCAGCACAAAGTTCTCGCCGCCGATGGTGATGCCACGCGCGGGCACGACAACCGCGTACTTCTTGTCGGTCATCTTCTCCATGAGCCGATGGAGCATGTGGGCCAGATCGAGGGGCCAGTCGGCCGTCGGCTTTTGCATCAGCTCCTCCGCGTCCTTCTCCATGCACTTTTGGACCTCGTCGCCACGCTGGCAGCCTGGGTCGACTTGGAAGATGAGTTGATTCTGGGGAACGGGCGCTTCTTTGTCCTTCTGCTTGTCCAAGCTGAAGTGACGCATTTTGGGGCACTGTACTGTTAGCAGGGGGACAACTAATTATTGTTTTTTTCTCGCCGATACCTATTTGTTAATAGAAAAAGCCTATTTTTAAAATATTGTTCGTAGATTTTGATTGCGAGAAAGTTAGAAAAAACGTAATTTTTTTAAATTTGAAAGTTTTGACTTTTTTGGTCATTTTTCATGCATTTTTTTAAGCAATTCAAAAGTGTTAGAAGATTTTTAAACGTTTTTATGAACTTTTTATTTCTAAAAACTGTTAAAATGCCATAAAATGGTTTCGAATTGGTTATTACCGTACAGGATTACTGCGTAAAATTAGTTTCCCCTGCAAACCCCCCCCCGCTAACAGTCCAGTACCCATTTTAGAGCGATTCAAAAATGCTTACACGGCTCTAATCGAGACTCGCGTCGGTTTGCGTTGGTAGACCTGGAGCTCCGGGGCTGCCCGATGCTCGCCGAGCGGGGTCTTGTAGCGGGCGTGCGGCCGCGAGAAGATGGCCAACGTCTAGGAGATGCATATTTTCTTGAGTTTGATCTCCTCACCTCGACCCACTCGTCCTCCTGCTGCTCCTCGTCGGTTTTCCCGTAGTATGTCTAAACCAAGAAATATAGGGTGACCCTGACAATCGGGCCTTGTTCAGCTGCCACTCCTTGTAGATCCACCCGACGAACGCCATGATGCAGCAGATCGCGATCGCGCATACTAGCAAACCAGGTTGAGGGAGCAGAAGATGCAAGAACCGGAAATGACCATCGGCAACCGTTCGCCCATCGGCACGTGGACCCAGGCCTTGCAGTGCTGGCAGAAGCCCTCCGACTCGCAGTGCATCATGGCTGCGCGAGCTGTGAATGATGGAAACTTGCTCCTTGAGCTGATGAAACTTCAGATGCGAGTATCATAATCGTTATTTAAATTGCTAATTCTAAATCCTGGCCAAAATTCAGTGCTTTAGCATTACCGGGGTGAATGGAAATTTAATGTAAACAAATTAGAAGATAACAAACTTAGAAACAATTTTGGTGAGATTTTTTTCAAAAATCAATATTTTTTACATTGCTTAAGTAAAAATTTGTAAAGTTTTGAAGCTTAAGAACAGTAAAAATATTTTAGAAAAACTTTCTCCTTTTGCTATTAGAAAAATTGGATCCTAAAAGAAAGGTTCCCCGCCGGCAACCCCCCCCCGATAATACCCAAGCACCCAAAAATCCTATTTTTTTTTGTATTTTTTCTACGTGCGTCGATTTGTCTTATTTTTTGCAAATCTGGAATTAAGCTGTGTTTTTATGTTTATCAGGCCAAATTAAAAATCATTCGCAAGAAACGTCGATCATTCGAGTTGTGGCAGGATCGGGGCGTAGATGAAGGTGGAGGTAGAGGTGCGGGCCGGCTCGTCGGCGGCTTCATCGAAGGGGAGGAACAGGAGTAGGTGTTTCTGAACTTGTTGATGACGCTGGGGTAGATGTTCAAACCTGGGCGTCAACGGCGAGGCACTCGATTCGCTTGACCGCAGTTTCCAGGTCTATTCGCTTCGCTGGGTCGACGGTAAGACATTCGTCGATTAGAGATTTCCTGAAAGAATTCGCGAAGTGAGAGAGAGGGAGAGAGAGAGGGGGGAGAGAGAGTGAGAAAGAGAGAAAAAGATAGAAATATTTTTCAGCTTAAAACCTACATAGCCGGC